CTCTCTTGTCCCTGTCTCCCCCTCCTCTTTTCCTCCTCCTGTACGTTCCCCCTAGACACTTTGAGCTGAAGAGGCCCTCAGAAACCCACCTAGGTCAGCTCCTTCATTTTATGTGGGAAGCAACTGAGACCCATAGGGAATCCCTGTTCACGTAGGGGTTGGTCCCTACCGATCATTACAATCTGGATCCTCTGGTCACTATGGGCAAAGAAAACTTTCAGGACCCATGTGCACCCAGGCCCAGGGAGCCAGAGCAGGGGGCCATCCAGACCCTGGCTTCACTTTTCCCGAGAAAGAACTGGAGACTTGAGTGGATCACAAGCTCAGTGAGAGCAGCAGCCCAAAAAGCAACTCATTTTGAGCTGCCCTGACAGAGGTCCAGGTCCCAGAAGCAGCAGGAAGGTGCATGCCCCCCATGTCCTTTGCCCTGGCTCATACGCAGCTGGACAGCTGTTCAGTTGGGGCACCCCATTGAGTGTGCCGGGATGGGGATGTTTTCTCTGGACGTGGGGCCCAAAGGTCTGTGCTATGAGAGAGGGGAACTGACTGAGAAGCCAATTCAGGCTCCAGCTCCAACTTTTTTTTTTTTTTTTGGGCTAGGCAGTGGGGTTAAGTGACTTGCCCAGGGTCACATAGCTAGTAAATGTCATGTGTCTGAGGCTGGATTTGAACTCAGGTCCTCCTGACTCCAGGGCCCTGCCATCTAACTGCCCCCTCCAACTCTTTTTAATGATGAGAGCTGTGGAACTGAGCAGCTACCGTGTGCCAGGCTGCCGGGCCAGGCCCTGTGCTCCGGGGGCCCTACTGGACGCAACAGCTAAGTATAGGGCTCTTTCCACTAGATGAAGAGGTCCTCAGGTACTTCTCCATGGAGGCTTCAAGAACAGGCCACTTGGCCTCTTGTCTGTACGACTTGCCATCATGCCCCATCTAGCTGAGAGACCCTTGGCCCACTCCATCAGAACCTGGCCCCTCCCCATGCTGGAACCCAAACCCTGACCCTGCTTCCCCAAGTCTACCTCTTGTGCAGTGGACCAAAAGCTGAGCAGAAGCCCAGGAAAGGAGAGCTCTTTCCTACCACACCTAGCCTTGCCCTGATCAGGGCCCTCGAGCTGGCAAGAAGGACTTTCCTAGAGGCAGTCTCAAAGGATGAGTGGAGTCTGGCTGACCAGGGGCATCGGGCCAGCCTGGAGCAGAGAGGCATGCCAAACAGGCTAAGCCTGGCCGGGGGAGGGCAGGGTGGAAGGTCTGGCCTAGGTCCCGGGGGGCTCCTGCAGCAGATCCAATTTGATTGCTGGCATGAAGCTGGAGCCTTGAGGTGGGGAGGCTGTGGCTCTGACTGGGGAGCCCAGCACCTCCTAAGGCCTTGGGGTCCCAGCTCAGTCACGTAGGCCCTGTCACCCCCCCTTCTTGAGTCTCCTGTTTCCTCATCTGTGAGCTGAAGGCTTGGACTCAGGGAACCTCTGAGGTCCCTTCCCAGTTCTAACCTGATGGTCCTCACCCCAGCTTCTCTGGGCCAGTTTCTCACTATAAAATGATGGTCTCTAAAGGCCCTTCCCCACTTTGAGCTGCCTTAGTTTCCCTTCAGTCAAATGAGGAGGTGGGACTAGGTGACAGATGGGGGAAGCTGAAGAAGCCCTGAGAGTTACTCTACCTTATTCTAACTTTCAGCTGAGATGCCTTCCACCATTCCCTAGAAAAAATCCTCCTTCTCCTTGGGTGGAGGGGGAGGGACAGACATCTGCATTTAAATACCTCAAGCCCTCCCCCCATCCCCCAAAGGTGAAGCTCTTTCTGTTGGCAGCCCCCATAAGTGGAAAAGACCACTCAAGGAAGATCCTCAGGGCCCTCTGGATTGGGGGATAGGAGGAGATGGTTAGGGGCCAGGGTATGGGGTGTGATTTGTTGGCTAGAGGACCCCAGGGCCTAGGCCTGGTGGGGAGGGGCCTCAATGGCTAGCGTGAGACTCAGAATCTGGGTTAGGGATATCTGACTTTGGGCCACTTAAAGATCAGAGATAGATGGGGAGCTAGAAGGGCCCTCAGAGGACACCAAGTCTGACTCTCTCCTTTTGCAGAGGAGGAGAAAGAAACCGAGGCACATAGATGGGGAGTGACTGGCCCAAAGACACACAGGTGGCAAAATAATCTGTCCTGTAGAATAATGTCTCTTCACAACTTGCAAAGTGCTTTACTCCCAGGAGCCTTAGGAAGTCAGCCGTGCACATCGGTCTCTCCCCCTTTTACAGAGGAGGAGACTGAGGCTTGGATCAGTGAGGATGTCCAGGCTAGGATAAGAGCTTCCCCAGATATGGCTCCAGTCCCAGAACAGGGCTGGTGCCTCGTTTGGCCACATTCTACAGGTCTCCTCCTCGGGAAGCCTCGGTCTGGAGGAAGAGGAGCCTTGGCAGGGGGAAAGCAGTTTTCCCAGCTATGGGGTTTTCTTTCCCTAGCCTGGGAGGCAGGAGATCTGACATGCTGTGCCACTTTGGGTAAGCCCCTTCCCCTCTGTGTGCCTCAGTTCCCCCATCTGTCAGCTATGGGGATAAGTGCCCGGTGCAGCCCGGACAGAGAGTGTGAATCAGGACTGAGAAGGCGGTTATTGAAAGAGATTAGGCATGGCAGAGCCTGAGGTATCCATGGCGGGGCCAGCCTGTGTAAACGCCGCTGATTGCTGTGACCACGTGTGGAGAGGAGAAATGTGTGATGAGGGGCTGCAAAGGGCGGCGGGGCCTAGTAGGGAAGGGTGTGAAATGCACACCAGACAGGGGCTGTATTGGCTTCTGGAGGTAGTAGGGAGTCAAAGTGGGGAGGACCGAGGCTTGGAAGGAGAGAGCAGTGCTCACATCTGAGAGTGTTGGGATGGAAAAATGGGAGAGCAACTGAGAAGAGGCTCGGGATGCCCTTGACAGAGGAGGAAACTGAGGCAGAGCTTGGACTAGACTAGACCCAGGCTTCTTGACTTCCCAGCTCCTAGTCAGCACATGGTCATTGAGCCCCCAGGTCTACACTGGTTACTGTCTCCATCTTGGAAACTGGCCCTCAGGAATGGTCATCGAGCAAGGGATTCAGGAGAGTGCAGGGGCCAGCTGGGAGGGACGCCCAATGGTCTGCATGAGCATTGCCACCTCCTATCTCTGAAGGCAGATCCTGCCCCTGCGCAGTGACTGGTTTGTTGGTTTCTAGACTTCAGAAAGTGTTGAGAAAATGTTAATGATGCTGATTAAAAAGTGCACCTGCCCCCAGCTAGTTTGTTAAACCGTTCTCAGCGAACTCCTTCACTTTGTGGACTGCAAGCTCCAAAGACCGGGGATTGACCAAAATCCTGCCTTTGCTGCTTGCTAGCTATGACCTTGGCCAAGTCCCTTTCCCTCTCTCTGAGCCTCAGTTTCCATCTATGTAAAATGAGGGGGTTAATGCTGGATGATCTCTAAGGTTCCATTCAGTTGAAACATTTCTTAAGTGCCTACTGTGCGCTGGGAAGGAGGGGTAGGGGGAGGAGACTGGGAGGGGAGTCCCTGGCTCCCAGACAGTGGAGCTTTGGAGGAAGGTGGGGCTTTGAAGAAGTGGTGATGAGGACGTTGGGGGTGGGAGGTGGGGGTTGGAGAACAGCCTGGCAAAGGCCAGGAGGCAGGAGATGGGGGTGTCAGCTTCAAGGAGTAGTGAATGAGCCAGTTTGGCCGGAAGGCTGAGTAATGTTGGAAAAGGCTGGAAAGGGGGCCAGGTTGTGGCGGGCTTTCGATCCTGGGCCAAGCAAGGAAGGGCTGGATTTGATTCTAGAGACCCACAGGAGGCCCTGAAGGGTCATCCAATTGGACTTGCACCAGGAGTGGGAGTCTGGGCTTGGGGACCCCATGCTTGGTGGCAGTGGCTTATGGGAGTGGGACCTCGGGGGGAAGGAGCTTAAGTTTTGAGTCAGAGTCAAGGGATCTGAGCCGGCTGGGTGGAGAAGGGTCAGATGCCAGGGGCCATCCAAGCTGGGCGGGAGAGGAAATGAAGGGCCCAGGAGGGCCCAGTCTTCTGCCTGAGTGCTCAGGTCTGCAAAATGCCCTTTCCCCCATATCTGGAAAGTGAATCAGACTCTCGAATTTCCCTCTTGGGTACCCAGTCTCTGTCTGGGCCTGGGACTCCAATTACAGAAACTGGGTGTGCAGGCCCAGTCTCCCTCGTGGAACATCAGGGGAGAGGAGAGAGCGGGGAGGGGAAGGCCTGCTGCCAAGCCTGGCTTAGGCTCCTCCCAGAGTCTCCAGGAAAAGGGACCCTGTACCTTTAAGTTCCCAAGGTCTGAGTCACCATCCCCACTTTCCCTAATGCTTTAGACAGATGTGGAGCTGGAGCTGGCCAGATGTTTGCCTGGTGGGGCTGAGGGGCCCTGGCTGGGGGAAGGAAACACCTGTCACTGGGGACCAGGGTGAAGCGTTCTCCCCTTAGTGTCCGTGGGCCGATCCTCTTCCTGGGGGCCTAAAGCCTGAGAGGCTAAGGCAGAACCTCACTTGATGGTGACTCCAGAAGGCCCCATTCTGAATGGCAGGGTGGGGATGGTAGGGTGTGGCCCTCCATGGAAAGATATGTGCATTGGGTTAGGGTCCAAACTTTGGTAGGTCACTTTGGTTTCCCACTTGTCACATGGGGCCGGAGACCCTCACCTTCCCTGGTTGGATCAGGGGCTGCAAATGAGCTTGTAGCAAGTGCTTCTGGGTAACAGGCCCTGTTCTAAGTCAGCGTTTGTGGGGGCAGAGGGGGAAGGAATACAAAGAAAAAGTCACCAAACACAACTGTCATTCCCCTCAAATTGAGAACTCCCTAGAGCCAGTACCAGCCAAGTGTAAGGGCTATAGGGGCCCACAGGCACATCAGAGGCCCAGGAAGGGCCAGGCTGAATCAGGCCCCATTGGCCTGGACCTTCTTGGGCTGAGGAGGCCACTTGGTGTGGAGAGGCCTCGGGTAGCAGAGGCCCAGAAGGCAGCAGGGCCCCAGCTTCCAGTCCTAGCTCCTCAGCGTCAGAGCCAGTGTGGCGTGGGGCAGAAACTCAGCCATCATTGGACAGGTGTGGAAACTGAGGCTCAGCTGAATCTTTGACCAAGATTTGGAGTCCCTGTTCAAGAATCCAACCAGGGATGCTCATGGAGAGGATACTTTACCCTCTCTAGGCCTCACTTTCTCCCTCTGTAAAATGAGAAGGTACCAATCCACTCTGACAGGCTGTGGCCCTGAGGGTCCCCCTTGCCCATGCCTCCCTTAGGCATTAGCTCAGGCAACTCCCCCAAGCCCGGGGTGGGGGGTGCTTGGTTTACTTTGACCAGAACCTTCCCCTTCTGGTGATAAGCAGAGCACCAGGCTCCTCCTCAGCTCTCCCAGCTCCAGCCTAGCCACAGTGCCTGGCATAGAGTGAGCACTGGATAAATGCTCTGCCTCTGTCCATCTGTCTGTCTCTTCTCTCCTCCGCCCTCTCCTCCCTCCCTCTGTCTCTTCTGTCTGCTCCCTCCCTCCTTCCCTCAAAGTTGACATGGGATGGACGGTTGGTCCCCAGACCACTCCACATTACAACTTCCAGCTCAAGTGTTTCTCCATCTTGGCCATAAGAATAGCAGGAGGGCTTTACTGAGTCCAGGAACATTAGGTATGAACTCCATTGTCCCCCATTTGCCCATTGCTGGCCTCAAAGGTGGTCAGGAGAGAAGGCACCGAAGTTATGGGGGCAGCCTCTTCCCTTCCCCAACAGCCAGGGGCTCCATGATGGTATCCATCAGGACAGCCTGTCCAGACCGACAGTGACTGCCCAGCTTGGAATTAGGCCCATGGCACCTTTTTGTTGTCTGCCGGCTTCTTCCTGTCTGATGGTACCAAATGAAATAATCTTTGTAAACCGCTTAGCAGAGTGCCTGGCACGTAGTAGGTGCTTAATGACTGCTCCTTCCCTTCCTCTTTTGATAGGCCTTGCCTTGGTTTCTGGGTCTCTGCATCTGTCTCTCTTCTCAAGGGCCTGATGTGGCTCCCCGTACCCTCCCAGTTATCTGTCCTGTTGCCGTCCCTATGTTCCTGTGTGCATTTTGGGGGCAGGGGAGCATTTCTGTTTGATGGGAGGTTGTTCGTTTCTGGTGTTCTTGTTTGCTTGACTGCTTGTTTTGTGTGTGTGTATGTGTGTGTGTGGCCCTGGGTCTCTTTCACATGTGACCATGTACACACTCAGTGGCTATGCCAGGGACCCCTGTGACTTGGACTGAGAGGGAGTGTATGTGTGAGGGTCCCCCTTCCACACCCAGGGTCAGTCCCTGGAGCAGCAGGCCCTGTCAACTCCCCAGTGGCCAAACCCCTTCAGAGGGTCTGGGAGCTCGGTCCCCCTAGGCAGATGAGAGGAGCCGGTCCTAGCTGGCTCCAGCCCAGTGGCAGCCCCCTGCCCCTCCCCCAGCCCACGTGGCTGGACAGTGGCCAGAGGCAAGGTTGGTACTCAAGTCTTTTGACTCTCCTTCCATCCCTCCTTACCCTGTGTGACAGACAGAAAGATGTCTATCCAAAGACCCCGACGGGATCCCTAACTCTTCCCAGCCCCACTTGGTATGGGGGAAGTAGAAGAGACAAGTCTGCTTAGGGTCACCCTGGTCTGGGGAGAGGGGCCTGCTCAGACCGGGTTAGGATTCCCACTCAGCTAGGCCCTTCCCCTGCCCTTCCAGGAGGCTAGAAACAGCTGTGGATTGGAGTATTGGCCCTGGAGGCAGGAAGGGGGTGGGGGGGAGGAGCAAACATGCATTTATTAAGCACCTCCTGTGTGCCGGGCACCATGCCAAGGGATTTATAAATGTTATCTCATTTGATCCTCACACAACCCAGTGAGTACCCAGACAGAGATAAGTGACTTGCCCAGGGTCACACAGCCAGGAAGTATTTGAGGCTGCATTTGAACTCAGGTGACACCAGCCCCAGTGCCATGGCACCTCCCAGCTGCCCTCTCATATGCGGCCTCAGACACTTACCTGTGTGACCTTGGGCAAGTCAATTCACTTCTCTTGGCCTCAAGTTTCCTCATTTGTAAAATGGGGATAAAAATCGCACCCCCTTTACCTGGTAGTTATGGGGCTCAAATGAGACAACAGTTTTGGGAGTGCCACAGGGTGCTTGTATCTCTCCAGTGTCCCCATTTCCATGCCTGCTGCCTCCCCCATTAGAATGGAGCAGCTGAAGTGGGGAAGGTCACTACCACGTTCCTGAGGGCCTAGTGCAGGACCTCAGCCCCTGGGCCAGCAGCTGGACCTCAAGGCAAGAAGCCATTAGCACAGTGCCTTGCATGCAGTAGTAATTGATTGATAATTTATTCCTTCCAAGGCCCCATTTTAAAGAGAGGAAACTTGGCCAAGATCACACAGGGAGTGAGTCACTGAGGCAGGATTTGAACCCAAGGTCTGAAACTCCAACACTGGCTCTTTCAGGCAGCCCCAGCTTTCTGAAAGCCTGGTACTGTGTTCTGCAGTCATACCAATTCCTAGAGGCAGAGCATGGGATTGGGGGGGCAGGGAGGCCTGAGACAAAGGCAGATGCACGCGCACACACACACACAGTCCCTGGCTGACCTTCCAAGGACATAAAAGATCCAGTGGTCAAACCAATGGGGGGGGGGGGGGGGGGTAGGAGATAGGTGCAAAGAAAACTGAATCAGAAGTTGACTGAGTGAGTGACCTTGGACAAGTCCCTTCCCCTCTGGGGGCCTCTTGGAGCTCTTGTGGGCCTCACTCACATGGCTAAAGGCTCTTCTGCTAAAACATCTGCTTCCTGGCCTGACCTAGCATCCCCCTCCCCCCCATAGGTAAGTGAGGACCCTGACTGCTTCTGGGCTAGGGTTCATAGCTCCTGCTCAGGAAACTTCCATGGCTCCCATTGCCTGAAGCAAAGACACCTGTAGCCTACTTCCCTGCTGAGCTTTCTGTGTCCTTCCTTAGGGCCTGTCCCTCTTCCCCCAACCCCTCTTCTCTCTCTGCCTTCCCAGAATGAATCATCCCTCTTGATCCCAGGCCCGGGCGGCCTTGCAGTAGAACATATCCTTTCCTCCCAGACGTGGCCAGGCCCCATCCTGTCCCACCCTGCCCCACTTGCCTAGGCCCTCTGGATCAGGGCTGAAAGAGAAAGAAGAAATAGGGCACCATGGGAGCTGAAGCCCTGTGTCCAGCAGACCTGGGACTGGCCTGTCCGCTGGCCCTTAGCAAGGCTGGGGATCGTGGAAGAGGCCCTTCCCCAGAATAACCGGCCTTAGAACCAACCCAGTGAGCGCAAATTAGACAGGAGGAAACTGAGGCTCTGAGATGGGGGAGGAGCCCCAGCAGGAGAGGCAGGTTGGCTGAGTTCCTTGGTCTGCTTGTGAGCACACTGGCCTCCATAGCACCTTCCCCACATTTGGGTTGTTTCCAGGGCTGCTTCCAGGGCCTCGGCTACTTGTCAAGAGTCTCTCCTTGGAACCCAACCCCCAGGGAAGCCCCGGTGAGACTCCCAGTCTCAAACCTTCTCCCTCCAAGAGGCCCCCAGGGCCCAAGCCTCAGGGTGAGTGTGTGTTTGGGAGGAACGAGGGGGAATGGGGAGGGCCTCCCAAAGGAGAGGGCCTGCCAAGTGCCCGGGCGGGGTTACGCCCTCAAATTTGTCTTTCAGTGCCCCCCAAGCCAGCCCACCTCCTGGGCCCCCGGCTGGTCCCCCTGCTGGAACCTATTCCCCCGGCGCCCTCCCGCCCACTCCCTGCAGACCCCAGGCTGACCAGGGCTTCCCAACCTCGGGCTGAGGCAGCTGGGGGGGCCTCAGCTGTGTCCTCCCTGATCGAGAGGTTTGAGAGGTGAGTGGGGAGTAGGACTGGAGAGGGGCTGCCCCATGGGAGTGGGAGAAACAGGGAGGCGAGAGTGGGGGGAGTTAGGGGTGACCCAGAAAGGAGCTGTTGGCAGGGCATGGACTCAGTCCCACTGTGCCCTTTCTCTGGCATGCGTCTCCTCCTCCAGAGAGCCTGCCGTCCTGGTGCCCTCCGAGCTGACAACAGGGCCAGACTCCAAGGAGGGCTCCCCATGCCTCCTCCTGTCTGCTCCGGGGGAGAAGGTGCCCAACCGAGACAGCGGCATCGGCAGCATCAGCTCGCCCTCCGCCAACGAGGAGACCTGTTTAGCCAATGCTGGCGGCAGCAGCAATGGTAGCGGTGGCGGCGGCGGCAGCAGCACTGAATGCACCCCAGGACCTTCCAGTGGCCTGCTCCCTGTTGCTCCTCTGCAGCCTCAGCAAAGCCCCATGGAGGCAGATAGTGACCTGGATGAGGAAGAAGAGGAAGATGATGAAGAGGAGGGGAGAGAGGGGCTGCCCAGGCCCAGAATGGAGAGACAGGACTCTTCAGAGGTAGGCAGGGATCTGGGAGGGACCCCAGGAGGTAGCCACAACTAACAGGTGAAGAAGCCATGGGAAAACTCAAGGCAAGACAGCATGGCCTTGGCCAACTCTCTGGCCACAGAGGAAAGAAAGCCAGCCCCACTGAGGCGTGGGGTTTGGCCCTGTGGGGCGGTGAGGTTCCCAGGTGGGGTTCACTTTCATGCCCCCCTCTGTGTCCTCTCCACAGCTAACAGTTCAGCAGAAGGTGTTTCATATTGCCAATGAACTCCTGCAGACTGAAAAGGCTTACGTATCACGGCTGCACCTCCTGGACCAGGTAGCACCCCCTCCCCTGCCGCCCCTCTAGGGTGCACCCTCTGCTCCTGGGGCCCCAACACCTCTACTTCACAGCAGAGGAGGATCCTTAGGGAAACTTTGTCACCTGTGGCAGTTTGAAACCTCAATCCCACAAAGCGAACCTTTCACCACAAACTACCCCAAGGGAAATAGGCCCCTCTAAGCACCCCCTCATTCCAACCCTCACCTTTCCAACTTAAGTTAGACCCCTGAGAGCAAACCCCAAGCTCACCTGCCCTCTTAACTATACCCCTAATCCCTCCATCCTAAAGGCCAATGCTCCCCCAAACTCCAGAGCTCTGGTTGTGAGCCCCTTTCCCCTTTAACCTGTACCTGTCCCTCCTCAACTTCTCATGCCACCGTAACCTCTCTGACTGAGCCACCAGACCCCAGAAGGCCCAACCCAACCCTGGGCACATCTGCCTCTACACCCTGCCAGGTATTTTGTGCCCGGCTGTTAGAGGAGGCCCGGACCCGAAGCTCCTTCCCAGCTGATGTGGTGCATGGCATCTTCTCCAACATCTGCTCCATCTACTGTTTCCACCAGCAGTTTCTGCTGCCAGAGCTTGAGAAGCGGATGGAAGAGTGGTGAGGAGCCCCCTGCTCTGTCAGGCAGTAGATTTTCAGGCACATAGGTGGCAAGGCCCTTCCCCTCTCTAGATTTCTGTTTCCTCCTCTGTCAGATGAGGGGGCTAAACCAGATGACCTCAAAGGTCCCTTCCAGTTCTGCCCTTCTCAGATCCAGAGTCACTCCCTTGGCCTCAGTTTCTTCCTGTAAAGTGTGCAGGTTGGTGGGCCACTAGTACCCAGAATCAATAGACTCGGGCCGATTTCTGATTAAGAATCAGGCTAGTCTTTGAAAGGGGAGGAAAAGTGGCATCTCCATCCCTCTTCTTTCCTCCCACCCCCACAAAGGGACCGGTACCCTCGAATCGGGGACATCCTGCAGAAGCTCGCGCCATTCCTGAAGATGTACGGTGAGTACGTCAAGAACTTTGACAGGGCCGTAGAGCTGGTGAACACATGGACGGAGCGCTCAGCCCCTTTCAAGGTCATCATCCATGAGGTGCAGGTGAGCAGGGCAGCCCCTGAGATTCTCAGCCTAGAGCTCCCATGCACCGTGGGGCCCTGCCTGACCCCCAGCCTGGCCCCCTTTCCCCAGAAAGAGGAGGCCTGTGGGAACCTAACCCTACAGCACCACATGCTGGAACCCGTGCAGCGCATTCCCCGCTATGAGCTGCTGCTCAAAGACTATCTGCTCAAGCTTCCTCATGGCTCTCCAGACAGCAAGGATGCTGAGAGTGAGTCTACTGGCCAGGGGGAGGAGGGAGTGGCATGAGGTGCATTTCTTCTCCACAGTGGTAACTGGGTACTGAATGGCTGCCTGGATGATTGGCTGCCTGGATTTCTGGGTGGGTGGATGGATGGATGGATGGATGGATGGATGGATGGATGGATGGATGGCTGGGTAGATGGCTGGGTGGATGGCTGGGTGGATAGATAGATGGATGGGTGGATGGATGGATGGATGGATGGAAGGGAGGGTGGGTGGATGGGTGGATGGGGGGTGGATGGATGGAAGGGAGGGTGGGTGGATGGGTGGATGGATGGATGGATAGATAGATGGATGGATGGATGGATGGATGGGAGGGTGGGTGGATGGGTGGGTGGGTGGATGGATGGAAGGGAGGGTGGGTGGGTAGATGGGTGGATGGATGGAAGGGAGGGTGGGTGGATGGGTGGATGGGTGGATGGATGGATGGATGGATGGAAGGGAGGGTGGATGGATGGGTGGATGGATGGATGGATGGATGGATGGATGGATGGAAGGGAGGCTGGGTGGATGGATGGGTGGGTGGATGGATGGATGGATGGGTGGATGGATGGGTGGATGGGTGGATGGGTGGATGGATGGGTGGGTGGATGGGTGGATGGATGGGTGGGTGGGTGGGTGGATGGATGGATGGGTGGATGGATGGGTGGGTAGGTGGATGGAAGAGATTCAAGGCTCAGTTTGTACTTCACTTTCTGGGTGAAAGCATCCCCTGCCCCAGAGTAGTTTGTCCCAATCTGAAGCCCTTGTTTTGTGTCTCCCAGAATCATTGGAATTGATCGCTACCGCAGCTGAGCATTCTAATGCTGCCATACGCAAGATGGTGAGGCTCTGTGGGTCCCCCAGCCTGTCCTGGAATGGGTGTGGGGAGATGTTCAGGGGAGAGGCGTCATGCTCTCTGTCTTGTCCACAGGAGAGAATGCACAAACTCCTGAAGGTCTATGAGTTACTTGGAGGGGAGGAGGATATTGTTAGCCCTGCGAATGAGCTCATCAAGGAGGGTCACATCCTCAAGCTATCTGCCAAGAATGGGACCACTCAGGATCGGTACCTCATCCTGGTAAGGGTGACAGCCAGGGCCCAGCAGGGGGTTGGTTACTGAAGAAGATTCCCCTCCTTCCTCCTCTTCTTCCTCCACATGCTTCCTCTCTTTGCCTCCCAGTTCAACGACCGCTTACTGTACTGTGTCCCCAAGCTCCGACTCCTAGGACAGAAATTCAGTGTGCGAGCCTGCATAGATGTGGATGGCCTCGAGGTAGGTCCCAGTAGGAGGTGACCTGAGTCACCAGAGAGACCCGGGTTGGGTTCGGTGTTGGGGAGAAGAGGTTGCATGGATGGAGGGATATATGGATGCTTGCTGGAGTTGGCGGGGGAGGGTTGTCATGATATTCTCCATCTCTTCCGCCAGCTGAAGGAAAGTTCCAACCTGAACCTGCCCCGAACCTTCCTGGTGTCCGGGAAGCAGCGTTCTCTGGAGCTACAGGCCAGGTACTTCCTGACCCTGGGATGGGAAACTCCACAATGGCCTTTCTTGGTTCCTGATGGGACAATGGGCTGTCAAAAGCTTGCCCACTCCCAGCCAGCCACTCCATGGAGTGAATGATTCAGTTCCTCAGATGTTTGTGCAATGCCTCTGATTTTGTGAGGCTGGAGGCAAAGGGCGGCTCTGGTGCTGAGTGGACAGGCCCCACTGAGCTCTTGTCTCTCCCTCTCCACCGAAAAATTGTGTCTGCCAGAGCCAGGCATGGGCTAGACACATAGAGGCCATGTGGTTTAATGGCAAGAGAGGTGGCCATGGACAGTGACATCTACCAACGTTGTGGCTTTGCCTCATTTGGCAAGGGGGCAGAAGATGGTCACTAATTGTTATCACAAATGAGTTTGTCCTGTCTGATTTTTTTGCAGGACTGAAGAGGAGAAGAAAGATTGGATCCAGGTAAAGAGTTCCCTGGGTGGCTCTGGCTCCTGGCGGCTGGGGTGAAGCTTAGCCTGATGAACGGGAAAGATCAGAGAGGAAAGGAGTGGGGGGAGGGAGGCTGCCCCCAACTGGACCCTCTCACTTCATCCGACTTCCCAAGCTTTGTCGGGGCCTTCCCTCCCCTACAACTCTCCTTTGTCACAAAGTACAAGAGTTAAGGGCAAACCAGTGGACACCATATGCAGCACTCAGCCCCTCCCCTTTTCTGAGAGGAGTGCTCACCCCATCATTCTAGAAAGGGCCTAGAGGGGTAGGTCCCCAGGGTCCCACAGTGGGTCAGTGACAGGACTGAGGCTGGGACGTGACTCTCCTGCCTCACAGCCCAGGGTCCTTTTTGCTGCCCCAAAGACTATCCCTTCCCAGAAATCTAGGCTATGATCCCCTATGTGACCATGAGCAAAACCTTTCCTGCTGCGCCTCCTCAGCCTTCCCCTCTACAGAGAGTGTGTGCGTGTGTCCATTCGTGTGTGCGTGTGTGTGAAGATGGGGATAGGGAATAGGATCAACCTCTCAATGGGCCCCCAATTCTTATGAGGAAGAAGTCTCCTTCCACATCCATGTGGTCAGAGACCTTTCTGGGAGGAGGTGAGGATCTCTCACCTCTGACCTCTAATCTCTGAGCTCCAATCCCCCCTTGTCAGGCCATCCATGCCACCCTCATGAAACATGAGCGCACACTGGAAACCTTCAGACTGTTTAACTCCACCCACCGAGAGGAAGATGACACGCCCCCTAGCTCACCGGTAATGGAGGGGGGGGCCTTGCTGACATCCCTTTCTTACAGCGGAGGAAATCTTAGGCATGGGTAGGCAGCAAGTTGACCGAGGCCACCCAGTGAGGGCTCACTGTGGGAGTAGTCTGCAGTGACACATGGGGAAGAGTGAAGGTGGTGGGTCATGAGATCAGTTTAGTAGGAATTAAGTACCTCAGAAGGAGCCTGGGAGATGTAGGCTGGAGTCAGACAATGAAGAGCCTTGAATGCCAGAACTTGCACCTCTATTTGGTTGGAAGCAGGGGGACACCAAGTAAGAGGCCAGGACAGTAGGGCAGGGAGGACCACAGCCTTGGGAGTGGGGAGCCTCACTGGGAACTGGGGTTCCCCCCAGAATGTGGACCTTGGGAAGCGTGCCCCAACGCCCATCCGAGAGAAGGAGGTGACAATGTGTATGCGCTGCCAGGAACCCTTCAACCCGATCACCAAACGGAGGCACCACTGTAAAGCCTGTGGCCATGTGAGTACAGGCGCCAGGCCCGACACATCATTGGTGGACGTGGCTCTGGAGATCCAACCTGAGGGAGAGAAGTGGGTGGAGCCACTCAGGCTGGCACCCCCCCCTAACCTTCCCGACTCAGCTTCTTCAGCTTCTTGCTTCTTCCTTCTCCTCACCTTTACTTTTTTCTTCTTCCTTTCCTCTCCTGGCCTAGCCTCCCCTGGGCTGTCCTTTTCCCCCAACACTGGCTTCCCCTCAGTAGGCTGGGGGCCCTGACCACTGGTCTCTCCTGGCCTGGCTCCCAGGTTGTGTGCGGCAAGTGCTCCGAGTTCCGGGCCAGACTGGTCTATGACAACAACCGCTCCAATCGCGTGTGCCTAGATTGCTACACCACCTTGTGCGGGGCCCAGGGACCCAGCCCAAGCCCAGGACAGAACACGCCCCAACGGAGACGCTCCATCCTAGAGGTGAGCTTTTAGGCCTTGGCCCTGGGGAAGGGAGCCAGCGTGGCCATTCCTTCAGCCTCTGACCGTAACCCTGGCTCCCTTCCTGGCCCAGAAACAAGCTTCAGTGGCTGCGGAGAACAGCCTCGTTTGCAGCTTCATGCACTACATGGAGAAAGGTGCCAAGGGCTGGCACAAGGCCTGGTTTGTGGTCCCTGAGAGTGAACCCCTTGTCCTCTACATTTACGGAGCCCCTCAGGTGACTTCTCGCTCTTCTCCCCCTGCCCTAGTGCCCATCTTTCCTCTTCATTTGGAGTCAAAACCCTGGACTGCCTTAGTGTCGCCCTCCAGGACTGGGGCTGGGGGGGAGGGGGGTGGCCTGCGGAGAAGTGTTCCTCCTTTGTCTCATTCTTTTCTTCCCCCTCTTCATCCCTCTGGCCTCCTATCTTCCCTCTTCCTCATCTTTTTTTTGTCTTCTCTCAGACCTAGGAGGGGGTACAGGCCAAATTAGTCCAGCAGTGCTTCCCAAGGAGAGTTGGGCTATGCTGAATGGGAATAGTATAAAGAACTGGAGGGCCAAGAAACAAGCAGTTGTTCGGTCCAGATTGGAAGAATCTTGACTGACTGCTCCAAAATCTTGGAGTCTAGTGAGGGAGAGAGGTGGGGACAGGAAGGCTCCTTTGAGGCCACACTCACTCAACTGTCTGATTTGTATTGTCCAGGATGTGAAGGCCCAGAGAAGCCTGCCCCTTATTGGCTTTGAGGTGGGGGCCCCAGAGGCCAATGAGCACAAGGAAAGGCGCCATGTCTTCAAGATCACCCAGAGTCACCTAGCCTGGTACTTCAGCCCAGAGACTGAGGAGCTTCAGAGGCGGTGGATGGAGGTGTTAGCCCGAGCTGGCCGGGGGGACGAGCTCCAGGCAGGCCCCTCCGTCCTCGAGTCCCGAGAGGAGGATGAAGCGGCTGCTGCAGCAGCAGGCCCAAGCCTAGAGCTGGAAGCCCCTCCTTCCATGTCCAAGCAGGGACCCCAGGGCTGAGCACCAGCCCTTGGCAAGCTGCTTGCCCCTTGCTACTTGAACTCCAGATCACGGGCACTTTTGATCCTGTTATGGGGTTTGCTCTTCAACATTTTAGCCAAATGTGAGGGTTTTGTTTTTTTAATTTCCAACCTCATGTTTGTTTTTCACTTGGGGCGGAGCGGTTCATAAAAGAAAAAAAGCCCTGCCCTCCCCATCTCCACCCCCCCCCCCCCACGTAAAAGGCCTCAGCTGTGCTGTGACTTTGGGCAGGCTGCACGCCCCATGGGCCTGTTTCACCATCTGCAAAACAGGCGAGTTGGCCAACTCTCCAAGGTCCCTTCCAACTCGGACCTGTGGTGCTAAGTCCTTTTCTTTACAATGGCTGATCTTCAACGCATTCTCCAGCTTTTACACTCTTACAATTTCTCTCTCTGGACTCAATTTTGCCATCCGTAAAAGAGGCACTGGGGAGAACTAAATGGCTTCTTAATTCTAGTTCTTAAAAAAGGAAATTTCTGAGTCAGCCCTGGGTCCCATTCACCCCCCCCCCCCCCCCCCCCCCCCCCCCCCCCCCCCCCCCCCCC